ATAGATTTGAGGATGCTGTTTGTAAGCCAGGGGCTGTTTAGTCTCTTTGCTGTGATCTGCTTAGTTTTTATTGGGCAATGCATGTTATAGAGGTTTTGAGTTTTTTGTAAAAAAATATTAACACATTCATCAATATCTAAGTTTTTTGCTAGCTCGTTTTGCCAGTCAATGTTACTAAAGGCTGAAATAAAGTTATTAACAGATGACTCATCATGGAGTTGGAATGTAATCTTAGTTGTGTCCTGGGACACTTTACACAAGTTGGTTATGAGAAAGATGGGATAGTGGTCAGTGGTGTTATCTGTGATTATGCCTGCTGGTCTAGTAATGAGGCATTTGTGTCAGTGATTCTTGTAGGTTTTGTTATTGTTGGTAGAAGTAAGCAGCTGTTCATAGTGTTTGTGAAATCAGTCATTTGTGGTCATGGTCCTGGATGAGATTTATGTTGAATTCTCTTGTAAGTATTAAGTGGTGTTTATTAATTTCAGCGCTAGTTATTATGTTTTTTAGTTTTCACTAAAAGAGTAAATATTGGAGTGAGGAACTCTATAAATTGCTCTGACTGTTAAAGGTTTTGTAAGGTCTCTGGATTTAAATTTAGCAAAGGTATATTCACCATGCTCGTCCCTTGTGCAAGTAGAATTTATACACTCTTCGTTCATCAGAGTAGTATATAGCTGTTCCACCTCCTAATTGATCTGGCCTACAATTGGGTATGACTGTGTAGCCAGGTATGGAATAGATGTTTGTAACATCATGTTTTAGCCATGTTTCAGTGAGAGTAATGATAGACATACTGACATTTGACATTTAGAGAATTCAGTAGTGCCTGGAGGACATTATAATTGAATACTGTTATGTTATTGTTGGCACTGAGTAGTGTCTTTGCCTGACTAGCAGTGTAATAAAGGCATTAGTTGTTAGAATCACGTGTGTGACTTAACCCTTTCAGGATTTTTGACTTACTAGTATGTCTTACGCACCAGTGTTGGTGACGTACTAGTACGCATAAATCATAGCACCCTCAAATCTAGCAGGAAGAGGCTGGTAGGCCAAGATGTGAAAGAATGGGTCTATGTGCGTCAGTGTGCGCAGTATAAAAAAAATAAATCCTGCAGGACACAGTGCATAATGAGGAAAAAAAACAAACAACGACTTTGCAGTCTATTTTTGTATGTTATTTATGGTTGTAGTATTCTCGTTTTCTTGGTCTCGTTTGATAGAATGGAAGATATATTACAGAAATAGAGATAATTTTGATTGGTTTCACGATGACAAGTACCTTGAAATTGAGCACAAAGTAGCGAAAATGTTTGATATTTGCCGACGTTCAAGTCTAAACAAATTATGCCACGCGTCCAATACCCATCAACTAGTGAATCTAATATTCTTGCACAAATGAGCTGATATTATTTATACCATTTTTACAATGATGCAGTATTATACATAACAGTAAATCTTTTTTTTTTTTTGTGAGAATAAAAATTCAAAATAGAAAGCAAAAGTAATGTAAGAGGGGCCTGGAGATGTGACTAATGAACAGATAAAATGTTATTTTAGTGCCAGGAGTGTCTGTCTTGTTTATTCTGGACCCTATTTTTAAATTAATATCTTTTAAAATTTGTGTGAAATTGGCCAAATTACCAATTTCTGACCACTTTATTGGGTAGTTGAAATTGGTAAATGGGCAGTTTCTTGTACTCACTCGATAGAACAAATGGAATTCCAGCGAGATAGCTATGATTTTAGTAGACTGAAACATTGGAATTGGCCGAAAATAGGGCTCAAAGTAGGCGAAATTGCCGATGCGTAAATATCGTTGAGATCAATAACTTCGTGATAGAATAATTCCGTAAGTTTTCCATAAAATTTCATACTTTTGGTGCCATTATGATTGGAAAAAGCTTCTCTGTCATTATATATATATATATATATATATATTATATAATATATATATATATATATATATATATATATATATCAGTGGACCCCCGGTTAACGAACTTTTTTCATTCCAGTAGTATGTTCAGGTGCCAGTTCTGACCGAATTTTTCCCCATAAGGAATATTGTGAAGTAGATTAGTCCATTTCAGACCCCCAAACATACACGTACAAACGCACTTACATAAATACACTTACATAATTGGTCGCATTTGGAGAGTGATCATTAAGCGGGGGTCCACTGTATATATATATATATATTATATATATATATATATATATATATATATATATATATATATATATATATATATATATATATATATTATACACACACACACCTACCATCCGACTTACGACCGAGTTCGGTTCCAAGAAACCAGTCGTAAGTCGAAATGGTCGTAAGTGGAGATGTCATGTCTGAGGGCAATGTGTGGTGTGAATATAATGCAGAGAATTCGTAGTTTGGAAGTTAGGAGGAGGTGCGGGATTACCAAAACTGTTGTCCAGAGGGCTGAGGAAGGGTTGTTGAGGTGGTTCGGACATGTAGAGAGAATGGAGCGAAACAGAATGACTTCAAGAGTGTATCAGTCTGTAGTGGAAGGAAGGCGGGGTAGGGGTCGGCCTAGGAAGGGTTGGAGGGAGGGGGTAAAGGAGGTTTTGTGTGCGAGGGCTTGGACTTCCAGCAGGCATGCGTGAGCGGTTTGATAGGAGTGAATGGAGACATATGGTTTTTAATACTTGACGTGCTGTTGGAGTGTGAGCAAAGTAACATTTATGAAGGGATTCAGGGAAACCGGCAGGCCGGACTTGAGTCCTGGAGATGGAAGTACAGTGCCTGCACTCTGAAGGGGGGTGTTAATGTTGCAGTTTAAAAAACTGTAGTGTAAAAGCACCCTTCTGGCAAGACAGTGATGGAGTGAATGATGGTGAAAGTTTTTCTTTTTCGGGCCACCCTGCCTTGGTGGGAATCGGCCGGTGTGATAATAAAAAAAAAATAATAAAAAAAATTTATTTTATTGTTTTATTTTGGTATTTCATGGTTTACTTTACTTTTTATGCTGTTAGTACTGTATTTTATACTGTAAGGTTTAGGATAAACACTGTGTACAACACAAATAGTTGTTTATTTCCCAGAAATTTGGCATAAAAAAACACGGTCGTAAGTCGAGCATGTCATAAGTCGGATGGTAGGTGTGTGTGTGTATATATAATAATATATATATATATATATATATATATATATATATATATATATATATATATATATATATTATATATATATAAATATATTATATATATTTTTTTTTTTTTTTTTTTTTTTTTTTTGGCCCTGAGAGTGAGTTAAGGATCTGGGGTCTCAACCCTGAAAGGGTTAATAAGCGGTTAATGTCAGGATCGATGTTTGCAAGCATATGACTAATGCAAGTTTAACAATGTATAAGAGTATAAAGATAACTATTAATGTTGCACTGGAGGTGATATGAGAGCTTAAACAAGCAGTACAAAGTGTGGGTAGCAGAAGTACTATTCTACAGATTGCACAGATACTAAACAAGTAATATTAATGCAAAAAGTACAAAGTTAAAAGATAGTAAAAAAAGGTCTTGAATAAAATTTAAATAATAAGATTTGACTTAAATAAAGAAAATGTATTTATAAAAAAGAAATGATTTTTGCCTTTTTTGCCAGGTCTCTACAATGTTTTAGAAATGCTGGAGTATATATGAAACTCCTTGAAGCACTGTGTAAGATGAGTGTTACTCCACTGCTGACAGTGCAGCAAAAGAGTGACATTTGATGATCATGCACTCCCGTGGCTTTATTTTTCACTGTTACACATAAACATGTCTGTCTATCTGTTTGTTTCTGTCTATTTGTCTGTCTATGTTTATCTCTGTCTCTGCTTATCTTACAAGTGAAAATGTGTATTACTTGCCAGTCATGCTTATTATGCCTTATATCTGCAAGCATAGTATAACACTTTGTCTGGATTTTTGGGGTTATCCTTGGTAATTTACATTATGTATAACTGTATTTATGTGTACCTGTGAGATAAAGACAAAGATAGACAGAGACAGAGATAAACAGAGACAGAGATAGATACAGACAGACAGAAGGAGATAGAGACAGCCAAAGCAAATCAGCCAATCAAGCCAGCTGGCCACACAACCAGCCGGCCTGCCGAACATATATTACACGTTCCAGAATTGTTTCTCTTTACTTAGGGCATACATTATAGAACATTCTGGCAGGATGACACTACCAGTGGTATCAAAATTGAAAGGATGTTACACATTGGTTATTATTGAGGTTTTTTATATTTCTTTGGTGTTTCCTGCGAGTATCTGAAGCTCGCTCATAACTCAGATTTTGGCTCTCAACTCAAAGCAAAAAATCGACTGAGCGAGGGCTCATAACTCGGAAAACTCATAAGTTGGGGCACTCATAAGTCAAGGTACTACTGTAGGGGAGATGGTGGAGGCTAACTTCATACATGAAATGTAAATAGGACAAAACCCATGAAAATTGAGAGGTAAAATAATATTGTATAATATTGGTTAGGAAGTAGGGCATAGGAGCTATAGCTTGATTAATGTAAAGACAAATATAATATTAATAATAATTGTTTTAAGCCTACATAGATATTGCAATGAATAAATTTACGGTTTATGTACAGATTATGTACATGAACCATTTAAGTACAGAATTCTGTTCATAATAAAGTGGATTAGATTACAGTGGCAAACACAAATGACTGGACTTGAGTCCTGGAGGTGGGAAGTACAGTGCCTGCACTCTGAAGGATGGGTGGGGATATTACAGTTTGGAGGGGCATCTGAACTGTAATGTTGGTGCACCTCTGGCAAGACTGTGATGGAGTGAATGATCATGAAAGTTTTTTTTTTTTTTTTTTTTTTTTTTTTTTTTTTTTTTTTTTTTTTGTCACCCTATCACAGTGGGAGATGGCTGGTGTGTTAAAAAATGACTTAATTCCAAGATTAATTTTTAATTCCAACTCCTACTTTCAACCTCAATAAGACAGGCATTTTCTACAGGTGAGGCTGGATGCTGAGGCTCACTTGACTGACGGGAACAGAGTTACAGATGGAACGAACAAGAATCTCACCATGGGCAGGATACACCGATGTACCTACTGTACCTACTACACTGTCCAGTCCTCTCATTTAACAAATCACATGCGAACACACACTGGAGAAAAACCCTTTGCCTGTCCTCACTGCCCATTTCGTTGCTCCCAAAATGGGAATCTTAAAATTCATCTTCGTATACACACTGGGGAGAAGCCCTATAATTGTCCACATTGCCCATATCAAGCCTCAATCAGCAGCCATTTAAAACGACACTTAAAAATTCATACAGTGGAGAAACCATTTTCTTGCCCTCATTGTCTTTATCAGACTACCAATGGTAGTGAGCTAAAGAAACACATACTTATACATTCTGGCTAGAGTTTGTTATGCTTGGTGGGTGTCTACCTTCCTACAGTAAATAGATCCTTTATTTATGGATAATATTAAACTTTATTTATATTTCAATGAAGTAGATTTTATATTCAGAATATTTTTCTTAGGTCTCTTACTATTTATAATTATTGCACCTATTTGTGGCTATGTGATTATACAGTGGACCCCTGACTTACAATCAGCTCCCAACTCGAACAATTCGTAAGTTTATTTTTGTAAGTGCTTTTGTAAGTGTATTTTTGGGGGTCTGAAATGGACTAATCTAATTTACAATATTCCTTATGGGAGCAAATTCGTTCAGTAATAGCACCCAAACAGCTTTCTGGAACGAATTAATATCGTAAGTCGGGGGTCCACTGTAGCTACACTTGAGGCAGCCCTTCTCTTCAGTTACCATAGGGGTATGTCAGGTGATAGGTTTACCTGTTTGTAATTATTTATTTGAATTTACAGCAGGGCTTTGTTCATGACATCCTGCCTTCTTTAATTGTTATCTTCATTTTTACATTTTCAGTGGATTTCATTACACTATTAGCTGTTTCAGCTATCTGTACTACCAGTATTTAAAAAGTATTATAATTCATTCATTTCAACTTATTTATTTATATTTTAATATTGTGGTCCTTTGTTCTTCCTGTTGGTGATTCTAAAAATTTTTCTCTATCTGCTTTTTCATATTTTTATAAATTTATATTTGATTACTATGTTTTCCTTATTCCTTTATATTCCAAAGACATTTACAAAGCTTCTTTTCTTTCTCTGGTAGGTCATTTTGAAGCTCAAGGAGCCATTTTGTTGCATATTTTCTTGTGTTTTATCTGTTTTTCTTTAGGGCCAGTCTCCATACTGCAGCTACACTCTCAGTAATACATTGATGTGATCTCCTGTTGATAACCTGCTATTCTTTATCATTCAATTTTTTTCACACACTTTTAGGATTATATTGCAATTCTCTTTCCATTTTCACCCATTTCAATTATTTGATAATCATCAGTGTTAAATTCCATCATCCATTTATTATGTTTCTGTCTTAATTTATGTAAATTTTCCTCCAGTGATGCATATTTTCATCTGCAAGTTCTGCAGTCGTATATATTTGTAGTAATTAGTTATTCCATCTGGCCCATCATCTGTACAGATGAAGACCATCACTGGGGCCAGTATGGATCCTTGTGGTACTCTTCTAGTCACTCTGCACTGTACGGATGACTTTCCTATTACACTCTCACTCTTCTTATCATTTCTCCTTGAGGGGTCATTGTTTTCCCATCTATTTCACATATCAGGAATTTTGCTCTAGCTCTCCTTTCTACAAAGATTGCTTCTTCTTCTTTTCTCTCTCTCTCTCTCTCTCTCTCTCATTCATTCGCATGCATGCACACACATACATGCACACACATACATGCACACACACATGCATGCACATACACACAAATACTGATGATTATTGTAACTTTATTAGTGATATTTTCATGCCTTTTTTTCTGCTCATGCCTTTTTTTTCTGCAACTGCATTTACTGATACTGTTTGTTTTTTATGTAGTTTGTAACATCAGTAGTTTGGAACTTCTACCTGAAATCACTACTGCTTCCTGACCAGCATGATAACTCCACTTACTGTTTTTCTATTTAGAAATCACCTGGGAGACTGGCATTTGTCACCATTTCCCTTAATTTGGTGATTATGACATCTTGTACATTTGGGTCCTTGTCTTTCAGTATATCTTTGTATTTACTTATTTTATTTGACATTACTTTATTGCATTTACCATATATACTTGAGCTCCAGTATATGAAATATAGATACACAGGCATATTCACATCAGTGACTACTCATACTTACATCAGAATTTTATTCATAAATTTTAATTCTAAGGCCAATTTTTTGACAGAATTTAGTGGGTCAACCTATTCATGGGTAATATTGCTGAAGGGTTGAAATTTATAAACTTTAATCCCTATTATGTAGAAGACAAGAAGAGAGTAGCACAGCAGTAAGTTTATTGGCCATGACAGAGGTCATGCCCACAGTCACACATTCAACTCATCTACAACTATTCCAAAATCATTGCTTTATTTCCTATATAATAACAGAAAACATAAATAGAAGAGCACTGTAGCAGGCTTGTTAACCCATACTAAGCAAATCAAACTCACCCAAGCATTCCCACTTATGCATTTTTTCCAAACTTTGTAAATTGTTCTACTCATCTACAGTTCTGTTGCCAAACTAGCAGATTTCTGTATCATTTTTTAATCTAAGTTTATCCAATTTGAATCCATTGTTTTGAGTTCTATTTTTTTGTAGATATGTTTAAAACTTTTTTTGCAACCCCTTTATTACTATATTTACTGCACAGTAAAATCCTGCATGCAAGAGATAAACCTAACATCTCAAACATTAAGATGGCCAGTCATTACAGCACTGTATGTGGGATCACAGTTTGAGGGCTAAGTGATGGAAGATGAAGGTAGTGTCAGATGCAACATTCCTCTTAAATATGTATAATTTAATGGTTGGGTGAGAATAGTGCCTGTAGAATGCAAGTAAGTAAGACTTGTTTTTATATAGGAAAGCACTGGTCTGGCAATAAGGCTGTACAGTATATGAGTGGGAATGGTTGGACCTGCCTAGCATAAGTCAGTAAGTGCTTCTCTGTTCATATATAAGAAAGCACTATATTGACAGTTCAGTTGTGTATGAGTGGGAGTGGTTGAGTAATAGTTGAACCTGCTAGCATGGGCTAGTAAGCCTGCTGCAGTGCTCCTTTCTTCTTATGTAAGAAAGTACTCATCATTCCCACTCACTGTCAGTGAGTGGGAATGATGTGAGATGTTTAGGACCTACTAGCACCAACCAGTAGGCCTACTACAGTGTTGCTCTATCATTATTAGACAGAAAGACTTCCCTTAGTTTTGAATGGAGCAAGTCATGATGCTCACCTGACTCTGATACAGTGACTGCAACACAGCATCACCTCAATTTGAGATTTTTTTTCACTTTAAGTGAACACATATATGCAGCTTTCCGAATGTTTTACTGAGGCCAAATCACATTTTAATGATGAGTTAATATTACACGTTCATGGTAAAGTAATACTACACAGGTACCAGAAAACAAAGTAATGATATACAGGTATATATATGTCAGTGACTGATAAATTAGACATGTGTGCAACACTTCGGTGTCTAATTTATCAACATGTCAGTTCTCTGAGCCATTTATCTACATGTCAGTGACTACTCTTACTTGCGTCAGAATTTTATTCATAAATTATAATTTATTTGTGTACTTCTTTTTCAGTGGGAAAATATATTAGAGTATTGCAATATGATTTCTTTGTGTCAAATAACATTGTCAGCGGTTGTAATGACGATATCATCGTTGTTGGCCAAGTTCCTGAGTGCTTGGATGTATCTTCTGGGAATGACCGGTCTTGAAGGCTCAGTAGCTGCAGCAGTGATGATTCCTTGGACAAAGCCCTTTTGAAACTCGGAGTCTCCAAAAGGTTGGTTCTTGGTTACCATATCCACCAGATTATGTTTCTTGTTGATGCCAGTAGTAAACTTGAGGCCTAGGCTGAGGGCTTCTGTCTCGGTGACGGTTAGTGTATAGGAAGATAAGTTATTTATGATTTCTGGTCGTCCCATTTCGCTCCATTTGCTGTGGGAACACAGGTCTTGTAGTTTTCGTGATAGCTTCAATTTCTGTTGGATGTTGGCAGTGGTAACTTGGCTGAGTATATATTCTGCAGTCCTTCCGCCTGTATGGCCTTCCTAAGACACACAAACCTGGCATCCCACTACGGCCTATCACTTCGGGCATAGGGAGTGCACCACACAGACTAGCCGGCCACCTTGCCAAATACCTTTCAGCGCTTCTGGGCACTATCAGTCAAGCCCACCTCAAACATTCAGGTGACCTTCTCTCCCGAATTTCCAACCTGAATGTCAAAAACAAAAGCATGGCTTCCTTCGATGTCACAGCCCTCTTTACCAACGTTCCTACTGACGCTGCAATCAACATTCTGAGACAGAGGCTCACTGAAAACCACGACCTCCCTTTACCTCTTCTAGATTTCATCAATCTAGTGGAACTGTGTGTTAATTTCAACTTCTTCAAGTATCAGGACAACTGTTACAAACAATGCTTTGGGATGGCAATGGGCAGCCCGCTCAGTGCTGTGCTTGCCAACCTCTTCATGGAAAACTTGGAGACAGAGAAATTCAGCACCCTCATTCCCAAAACCGTTACCTGGCTAAGAACGTTGATGATATATTGGTTTTCTATCCAAGACGTCTCAATATCCAGGCCCTTCTCAACAAGATCAATGCAGTTGAACCATCAATAAAGTTCACACTTGAACTCGAAAATGATGGCAAACTTCCTTTCCTCGACGTTCTACTGTGCAGATCTCCCGACAGTGACAAACTTCTCTTCAAAGTGTATAGAAAACCTACCAACAAGGACGATCTTATACACTTTTATTCACACCAAGATACCCGCACTAAGAGAGGAGTCCTCATTGGCTTCTTCTTGAGAGCTCTTCGCATCTCCAGCCCTTGTTTTCTAGAAGAAGAATGCACTTACATAACACAAGCCTTTACACGTCTTCAGTTCCCGTCTTTCTTCATCCGAGATTGCAGACTCAAGGCACAAGCTATCCTCAACAAACCGCCCATGGAACAGCCCCCTAAACAGTTCATAGTACTCCCATGTGGCGATGTTGCCACGAATACTCGCCGGGCACTTGCTGTGAGTAACATCAACGTTTCCACCATAAACACATCCTCTATCAAAGACCTCACTACTAAACGCAGCCCCACACCTCTAACTTCTACAGCAGGCGTCTACACTATCCCCTGTGGGTTCTGTCCCAAGAAATATGTAGGCGAGACAGGCAGAGATCTTGCAGTCCGCCTGAATGAGCATCGAAATGCCTCTAACAGAGACGATGTAAGGTACGCCTGTGTCCTCCACAGAGACTCCACGGGGCATTTGATGAACTGGAACGAGGCACAACTCGTTCTCACCGAACCAGACCTCAGACGCCGACGGTGCCTAGAAGCCTCACTAATCACCGTCACCGACACTATAGAACGCAACACTGGAAACTACAAAATTTCAAAAACATTGGCATACATGATACTTAAGCAGCACCAACCCAACAACAACAGGAGTCACATGATTTCATCGTCTACTGGTCCTCATCATAGGCAGAGGTTGTTTTGATAAGGACCTGCTCGCATGGGCCAGTAGGCCTTCTACAGTGTTCCTCCATTCTTATGTTCTTATGACATTCCTCAGTCACGTGCGTCACATCTCACTCTCACGCCTATATATATAATGTCTTTCTACCTCTGTATGTTAGAAGTGATCAAGGTCCCAGGACCGAAACGTTTTCTAATAAATATGTTTGCTATAGTGTTTGCTTACGTGTCTTTCTAAACCAACTTGTCGGTATTTATTACCAAGGTTTATACCATCTTGTCTGACACTGCAACACACTATGGACATAGCATACAGAGAATACCTTTCTCTCCTACTCAAAGCTAATAGTCTTCGGAACCGACACATCTTCCTAGAAGACTGTATTGCTGAGATGGTGATACCACGGTCCACTCCTCGACAACTGACCACATCTAGACACCCTTTCTCTCCTGCTGTTTACGCCTACCTTAGAGAAAGCTCTGATGAACTGCGACATGCTCAGAAGGAGGCCTCATTACGTGCCGCTCAGATTCGTGCTTCACTTCCTACTCTGACAGAAGGACTGCAGAATATATACTCAGCCAAGTTACCACTGCCAACATCCAACAGAAATTGAAGCTATCACGAAAACTACAAGACCTGTGTTCCCACAGCAAATGGAGCGAAATGGGACGACCAGAAATCATAAATAACTTATCTTCCTATACACTAACCGTCACCGAGACAGAAGCCCTCAGCCTAGGCCTCAAGTTTACTACTGGCATCAACAAGAAACATAATCTGGTGGATATGGTAACCAAGAACCAACCTTTTGGAGACTCCGAGTTTCAAAAGGGCTTTGTCCAAGGAATCATCACTGCTGCAGCTACTGAGCCTTCAAGACCGGTCATTCCCAGAAGATACATCCAAGCACTCAGGAACTTGGCCAACAACGATGATATCGTCATCGTCAAATAACATGTATAGTAATTTCAAATTACTTCATTTTACCTTATATTAGATGACCATGTTATAGTTATGAATATTTAGAGTAGACTGTACCAAGATAACACAGTTATGTTTGTAAGATATAGTCAGTCAGATTCATGTTTATTACTGTTGTCTTATCCAAGACATGGAACTAACATTTGGATTTGGGGAGCTGTTTTCTATAGTGGAGAACATTATCAGTATAACAAAGTATCATCTTTAAATTTTTAAATGCTAAATGTTTTTTCTTACATAAGTTTGCATGTATGTGGGTGAATGAGATTTGTTTGTATATTACTGAGGCTTTGATACCCAGGTATGTGACCGTAACACTGGAATGAGAAAGTGATTATGTTTTAAAGTGCAGTTGATGGGTGTCCATTTTCCATATATGCTTGGAAAGTTTCCATTTCTTAATTATAATATTGTTTTTATTGGCATTATAGTATGTTATAATTTATTATATTTTGCATATAGATGATAATCTAACTTAACTCAACCTAACCTAGATAACATACACTGTATTCAGAAATTCCCTTAAAAGTGTATGTGAGAAATCAACTATTGCTGTAGGAGGATTGGTTGTTTTCCCGACACTGTTGTTCTTAAATATCTAAGAAGTATGTATGTGTACCAAAGATGTGGGATGGGATGAACCAGTGTAATATAGGTGCTGTAATGTTAATTTTTTGTCAATTTATTGCTGTGCAATTTATGAATGTGCTTCACTTGTTAAGAATTTACACTGTTTAAAAAATGACCTCAGTTTGCCAATAAAGATTTTTTGTGCATAGTTGTGTTGGCGTTTAATTTCTTTTTAACCTATAAAAAATCTGCCACTGTACATGACAAATTTCTAATCGAGACACTGAATAAGACGAGCATCCTCCACAGATGTTGCGGGAGAGTGACGATGTGGGTTCTCCGGGGGACAGAGTAGCAGGACCTATCAACGCCAACTGCAACAACACCAAGCTGCTTCGATGTCCTAACTGCCCATACTCCACCAATCAAGATGCACACTTTCTGGAACACTGGCTCACACATGGCTGGGAAAATACTTTTTCATGTCCATTCTGTCCATATAAAGCATCTGATTACAACCAGTTGAAAAGACATTTCCGTATGCACACTGGAGAGAAATCATTCTCCTGTCCTCATTGCCCATACGTAACTATTGATAGTAGTAACCTGAAAAGGCACATTCGAACACACACTGGTGAGAAACCGTATTCTTGCCCACACTGCCCTTATCAGTCTTCCTTAAAGGGAAATCTAAATAGACATTTGCGTAGTCATTTAAAAATCTAATTTTATGCTCATAATAAATATCAGTTTTTCAATTAGTATTCACGTATTTTTTTTAATCACTAATTACAGAGAAGTTATGGTATAATATATAAGTGTAAGCAAGTGTTATAAACTTTTATGTGACAGTATAAATTTCTGAAATAAGACTTAAAATTACACATTATGAATGTACCATAGTTAGAATTTTCATAGAAAATACTTTGATCAGAACTGGAACAATAGGTTTTCCTACACTCTCTTAACATTATGCTGTATTAGAACTCACAGATAAAATTATTACCTTTTGTCCATCTTTAAAGATTGCACAATATGTTTTTTATATGACAACATACATAGAGATACTGGCACTGTACACTGTATTGATGAAATGTTTTCTGTTTATAGCATATAGAAAAATATGCTAATGTACTGTATACAATATTAGTAGCAGCATGTAGCTTTTTGTTTTTGTTGTTAAATGTAGAGCATTGTATGATTGTAATGGGCAAAGGCTATAAATTTTATTACCTATGTAATGTCTAACCAAGCACCTAATACTTCATGCCAACAGATTTTTAGTCAAGAGCCAACAAACAAACAAACACCATACAGTACTGTATAGAATATGGAGCTTGGTGTGTGCATACCTTTTGGAAAGAACAGTATCACACTTTTTCATAGATTGCAGGAATCTAACCAGAGGCAAGACATTACAAGTCCACAGCTTTAATGATAATAATATCTTTATTTCTACAAGTACATGTACATGGTATACAGGCCTAGTTGGCATCAGTGACATACAGCTATATAGAAAGCCACTTCTTATGCAGAGCATTTTGGGCAAATTAGGTCAATTTTGTCCCGGGTTGTGACCCGCACCAGTCAACTAACACCCAGGTACCCATTTTACTGATGGGCAAGCATGAACAACTGGTGTAAGGAAACACGCCCAGTGTTTCCACCCTTGCTGGGAATTGAACCTGGACCCTCAGCATGTGAAGAGAGAGCTTTGCCACCAGGCTTGTAATATCTTGCTGCTGGTTTGATCCCTTTCAATCCATGAAAAAATTGCAGCAGCTTATTATGTTTTTAGGTGATACTATCACAATTTGTTATGCTTTGCTCCTATTTGGAACTTTTTTTTTTTTTTTTTGAGGAATGGGTTTATATTGAATCTAACTCAAATACCTCAACTGTTTTCATGTATCACAAAATTTTATATGCTGTTTTAAACTGTTACCACTTACTTCCACTGAGATACAAAAACATGTGGAGAAACTTAATTTTTCAGCAATATATAGCATGCAACTAGGAAAGAAAAATTCAAATAAAATTTTTTATTTCTTTCCATAGAATTCAAAGTGTAATTTACATGTTATAAAATATTGTTAAGCACAAAGAAAGTCACTAGCATGTCTCAGCATTTTGGGCAGACTAATCCTAAAGAAATAGAGACTAGAGGGCACAAGAAGTAAATGACTCAGACAGCAGAACTCACTGTAAAATTAGTGTGGGAGTGGAAAAGATGAAACAGATTAAACTTCATTGGTGTGTGAATACAGCTAAAGGAAAGAACTATCAATAAGAGAGCAGATCTGTCTACTTTTCTGACAGTAGAACGTCATCCAGTCTTCTATGACTTTTCTGGTGTCACAGTTTTGTCCAATGTACGTAAGTTTATTGTATCTATAAGTACACTGTATTCAGCAATATATTTCCACAGATTTTTGTGTCCTATGGTTTATCACTGATAGAAATATATAATGAAGATGAACTGAAGTATAGTTCAGTTCAGTAATATATTTTCATTCAGGTACATAACTTAGTATTGTTTTAATTTGTACTGAGCTACTGTAGTACCATCTGAGCTTAAGACACAAGTGTCAAGACAGTACACTCCAGTATGAGTGCTTAAAATTTTGTTTACCAATATGTGGACATCTCCCCTACTCCCCTATATTGTTTGTCACATGACACACCAGGGCATTAGCCTCACCCCAATTAAAGATGAAAATTTTAAAAAGTAGACAGATGTATTTACTCTTAATGTTACCACCTATTTTAAATTGAAAACAAATTCACATATATTTTAAAGTGCTCTTTGGGAAAAGATTTTTTTTAATTTCCAGTCTGTTGGATGTCAGTCTTATTAATCTATTAGATATGTCATAAACTTGTTTGATCATATAGTGAACATGCTTATTTAACATCCTCCAGGCACTGTATATCCCCTGTGAGTTAAGCGCTTCCTAGTGAATATATTATTAATGAAAAATACAGGAGGTCTGAACTTTGAAGCAAGTTGTTTTTTGGATTTTCCAACTGAAAAATGAGTTGTTTGTATAGAAAATAATAATAAAGTTGGTAGAATTACCGACAATATGTAAAGTAAAAGGACACAAGTGCAACTAATGTGACATTTATTGTGGCAACGTTTCACTCTCTAGGAGCTTTATCAAGCTTTATCATGGCTTGATAAAGCTCCTGGAGAGCGAAACATTGCCACAATAAATGTCACATTAGTTGCACTTGTGTCCTTTTACTTTACATAGAAAATAATAGTATAGCTGATGGCTATGTTTCACATGTGTAGTACAGCTCAGCCGTTGTAAAACATAATTGGTTTCTAAGTGCCTTGTTGGTAAGTGTTTGTATGTAACTTGAGGTGTCTGTAAGTTTGAGGATGCCTTGTATTACCATATATCAAACATGTATGGGCTGTTTGAATTGTGATGTTCATTCATCTCAGGCAAAACAACTTTTAAATGAATGATAGTGAATGTTGTCTTTTTTCTGGGGAGGAATGCCCTACCTTGGTGTGGTAAAAAAAAAAAATTGTACCAAGGAAATCTTGGATGTGGTTCTGCAAAAAAAAAAAGATCAAGGAAACAGCCAAGCACCAGATGGAAGAAGAAGAAAAAAACAACTTCCTGGTGGTCAAAGGGGCAATGAAGGCTTAAGATAGAAACTTAGAGAAGCTGATGAACAGTGTCTTCTCCAGCAGTGAAATGTTGCAGACCAGTGGGAACCGCGATGCTTGAAGGAATGTGTGTACAGTCCATCAGCAGTGTAACAGTGATGTATGTTGGAGATATGTGTGTGTTCATGCATGCCTACATACTGTACACACACAGTCTGTCAGCAACAGGACACTGATGTATGTTCGAGTACATGCTTGTGCATGTACACTCAATCAGTAAAGGGACAGTGATGTATGTTGGAGTGTGTGCATGTACACTTTGCAACAGCAAGACAGTGATGTACTCACCTATATGTGGTTCCAAGGGTTAATTCTCAACTTGCCACTTGCCAGATTAACTCTCTCCTATCCTTGTGGGCCATATCATACCTCTTCTTAAAACTATGCAAAGAGTCTGCCTTCCCCTCTTTTTCAATGAGGTGATTCTACTTCCCAACAACCCTGAGACTGAAAAGTACTTCCTGGCATTACTGTGACTCATTTCATTTTTAACTTCCAGCTGTGCCTGTTTCCCACCTCTCAAACAGCTTGTACCTATCTACCCTATCAATTCCTCTGAGTATTTTGTATGTTGTTATCATGTCTTCCTTGATCCTTCTATCATCCAGAGTTGTTAGATTTAGTTCTTTTAGCTTCTCATCCTAGCTCATACCCTTAGCTCTGGAACTAGTCTCATTACATACTTCTGCACTTTCTTCAGTTTCTTAACATGATTTCTCTGGTGTGGGTTCTGTACCAGTGTTGTGTACTCCAAGATGGGCTTGACATGTTGCATAAAACACCCAGAATAACTCTTGTTGAGATTCTTAAACCAAAGCCTCTCTCAGATTTACCAGGTAAATATTGGCTGCAGAGGTTATTCAGTTGAGGTGAGCCTTTGATGATATGCTAGGCACTGTGCTTACTCCAGGTCCTTGTCTTTGAATGAGGTCTGCAGCCTCTGTACCCTGGGTCTGTAATCTGTGTCCAGTCTTCTGACCCCTTCCCAAATCTTCATAACCTTGCATTTGCTGAGGTTGAATTCAGGCAACCACATATCTGACTAACCAACCCTGTTGAAGTGTGTGTATACATTCCGCAACAACAGGACAGTGATGTGTGTGCACGTGTACACTCCACAAAAACAGTACAGTGATGTGTGTGCACGTGTACACTCCACAAAAACATGACACTGATGTATGTTGGTGTGTATGTACACAGTCAGTGGCATTGTGACTGTATTGATGACTTTCAACAGCCTGCCATGACTAAGCAACTAAATAGCACATCAATTTTAGTCATGATTTTTTTTTTCTGTTGATATCAGATCACACTATGATTAGGCTAAGAACTGTTGGGTCGTCACAGTAACTGACTGGGTGACTACATGGACATCTTGGATAGACATAGTTACATTGGTTATTGTGCTATCTCTCTGGCTTCCTCAAGAAGGAAAAAGTATACACATACTTTTTCAGTCATTATGCAATGCATTTATATTTTTTTCTTTTCAAGATTACATAACATTGCGAAAGTACCATACAATATCTTTGCAAATTTGATGTGATTGCTACTGTATTATGCACAATTCCAGTATTATATCAAATGACTCAAAAGGATATGCTAATATTTTTAGACAGTGTTAATGTATGTTGACATTGATGACATTGAATAAGGAAAGTGTCGCTTACAGGTGGGGCTGGATAGTGAAGCTGAGCAGCACAGCGGAGGTGGAGCTGTAGGTCGAGGGAGGAGCGTAACCACTAGCAGGAAGCTCCACCAGTGCCCCGTCTGCCCCTACACTACTACTAATCGTTCCCATTGGATAGTGCATTACCGAACTCACACTGGGGAAAAACCATATGCCTGCCCATACTGTTCGTATGAGGCTGTTGCAAACAGTGATCTTAAGAGACACATTCGTATTCACACTGGAGAAAAACCTTTTTCTTGTCCACATTGCTCTTATCAAACTGCTGTCAGTACAAGTCTCAAAAGACATATTTTGACTCATACTCGTTAAGATTTGTTACAAAAGATCTTAACTTTATGCATGTGTCTGTGTGTAACCACTTAAATTTTACTCAGTTGTGCTTGAGTTGGTAAAGTGTTCGGCTAACAACTGGAAGGACCTGAATCTATTGTTGGGTGGGGCGAGATTTAAAAGTTTTATCTAGCAGACAATGCATACCTTGGAGGTAATAGACCCTGGGGTAGTATCTTGGGAGTGGGCCTAAAAACAAAACTTATGTAAATACATTGCTTGGCTTTCTTGGGTTATTGATCATCTAAGGTTACTAAATCAAATAATATCTTCTTAACCCTTTGTGGGTCGAGAGGCCCATTCCCAAATTAGTTCTCAGGGTCGAAAAATTTTCGAAAAAAAAACAAAAAAATTATTTTTTCTCGTGAAATGATAGAGAATCTTTTTCCAATCATAATGACACCAAAAGTTTGAAATTTGATGGCAAACCTATGGAACTATGGTCTTGCAAAGTTAGCAGTCTCGATGATAATTATGCATTGGTGATTTTGCTTTTTTTGAGCCCTATTTTTGGCAAATTCCAATGTTCCAGTCTACTAAAATCATAGCTATTTTGCTAGAACTCCATTTCTTCTATTGATTGAGTAACAAAAACTGCCCATTTACCAATTTCAACTACTCAATAAAGTGGTCAGAATTTGGCAATTTGACCAGTTTCACACAAATTTCAAAAGATGCCAGTTTCAAAATAGGGTCCAGAATAAGCAAGACAGACATTCCTAGCACTAAAATAACATATTATCTGTTCATTAGTCACGTCTCCAGGCCTGTCTTACATTACTTTTGCTTTCCGCTTTGAATTTTCATTCTCACAAAAAATAGAAGATTTACTTTTATGTATACTACTGCATCATTGCAAAAACGGCATAAATAATACCAGCGCACTTGTGAAAGAATATTAGACTCACCAGTTGATGTGTATTGGACTTGGGGCATGATTTGTTTACTCTTGAACATTGGCAAAAAATCAAACATTTTTGCTACTTTGAGCTCAATTTCAAGTATGTACTTGTCATCATGAAAAAATCAAAATTATCTCTATTTCTGTAATGTATCTTCCATTCTGTCAAATGAGACCAAGAAAACGAGAATACAACCATAAATACCATACAAAAATACACTTGAAAGTCACTGATTTAAACCAAAAACACAGTTTTTTTTTTTTCTCATTATGCAAATCCTGCGTGTTCAGGATTTTTTTATACTGTGCACACTGACCATGCAGACCCATTCTTTCATATGTAGGACTGCCAACTTTCTTCCGCCAGATTTGAAGTACGTGACCAACCCTGGCTGCAATGACGTACAAGTACTACATGACCGACCCTCAAAGGGTTAATAATGCCCTAACTTATTGGGATTTGCCATATCTTAATTTTAATCTGAGTATGAAGATGGCTTCCATTATCTCTCCTAGGGCATTCCACTTGCTCCTGATCCTTAACATTAAAGAAATTTCTTATAACCCTTTGTCTCATCTGAATACATATATTGTTAACTATTAAAGTTAATTTATGACTCACGAAATCGTAATGACACGATTGCAAACAAACCATACCGCGGGCGGGGATAGAACCCGCGATCAGAGAGTCTCAAAACTCCAGACTGTCGCGTTAGCCACTGGACCAGCTAACTTTGAGGGGACTTGAGCTAGAGTTTGTCACGGCCACGCTAGCTGGAGATTCGTCTGCAAAAACTTGCGTTTGTGGTCACAGTGGTGCCTATGCTAACCTTCCTATGGTGTAGAAATATACCTAGTTGGACAAATCTTATTGTGGCTAGCTGGTCCAGTGGCTAACGCGATGGTCTGGAGTTTTGAGACTCTGATCGCGGGTTCTATCCCCACCCATGGTATGGAAAGTTAATTTACTCTTGTTCACAGTGTAAAACAGCTTATCATTTTCTACATTGCTTGTGCCCCTGAATATCTTCAATGTTGTGACAATGTCTCCTTTCCAACATGAAAGATCTTGATCTCTTAGTCTATTGTCTGTGTTCATAGCCCTGGTGCAAACCTTAATGTGATATACTAATTTCATGTGTTTTGTATACACAAGTATAGGGCATGTTTTAATATTTGTAATCACAGCACTTGTTTCTATTATCTACTTGTAGCCACAAGTAGAGAGATACCTATAGTGTCTGTCTTCAGTCATTATAAAAAATATTTATTTTCCACTGGTTGTAGCACTTGTTACTTCCACCTGGGTCTCACTGCAGTATTCTGCCACTCTAGTTGTTAAGAACTTTCTACTGTCATTTTGGCACCACTTTTTATCAGTTTATCATTGTGGCATCTTTTCCTCCCTGTTGATGGCACTAAGCAATTTTCTGTTGATTTTCTTATATCCTTTCGTAATCTCTCAGTATGGGGTTATCATGTCTCCTATTTTCTTTCTATCTGTCAATAAATCTTTCTACTTAATTTATACTTTTTAGCTCTGAAAGTCATTTTTGTAGCATGTCTTTGACTTCTTGTCTTTCCACCTCTAGAACTCTTTAAGTTTGGCTGAAACCCTTTGTAAATGTTGCCTATACCATATTATATCATGTGATTAATTTATTTTTCTGTTTCTGTTTGTTAATTTTGTATGGCCTCAAACTTTTAATACGGTAGTTCATCGTTTATCTGTTTTTGTTTTTTTTGTTTAATTTACATTATCAGCCATGTCTGTCTGTCATTAGCAAGTGTTAAGTGGTTATTTAGGATTGTTATTTATTTTTTCCAAACTTTTAGTCATGGGTATATTGCTTTTCTTCCTTGTAGAGTTAAATGCAGTATTTTTTCACCTCTCAAAAACAACTTCTCACAGTATTGTTGTATAGCCTGACTAGGAAAGGATGATGTTACATTCAGCCATTTGAAAATCTTGTTAATAATGTTTGGAATTCAAAGCATTGACTATGAACATGACTTACAAACTCCAAATCTGTTAAAACTATGATGAAATACTGTAGATAATTTGTTTATCATTGCTGAATCTGGTGTAAATTGGGTTTACATAATAATACATCCATGAGGTTCATACAGATTTCCCTCCACATTCGCGAGGGTTAGGGGATCAAGAACCTCGCTAATGTTGAAAAATCGCGAATGTTTGGTGCACAAATATATTTTAGAGAATATAATAATAACATTTACTTAGTCTAACAATACTGCTTCCTTAACCTACTGAACCATGAACAATCATAAAACACATGAAAACATCATAAAATATTGTAGTAGTGCCAGCCCTTTGGTAAAGAAGGTGAGAAAGACTATAAAATTCAAGAAAGAACTTGTAGCAGAGTACCAAAGTGGAGGAGGAAGAGAGAGGGGAGAATGTGCCTTCTTCAGTGATTCTGCGATATGTACGATACTAAAACAGCACAAGTCGATAAAGGCTGTAGCGCCAGCCAACGATAAAGTGTAGCATTAACAGTGTAGCAAGTAAGTTAAGTGATTAATCAATAGAAAAAGGACAGCACGAACCTAACTCCTCCAGTGTTGTTGGAGTTATATAGGGCAACCGACAACACCGCTGTCTCTACCACCTCTGCTGCTGGGTTCACCACCACTATGTAAGCCTTATGCTCTCAGTGGCCCTTATACACCCAACAACAACAATGCAACAACACTCGTGACATACTCAATGACATATTTTATTCATTATAAAGTATATGTCATGTTTCTATGTTATTAATATTGTTTATTATATCATATTAGATGAATTGTGATAGATAAATAAGCCGTAGAGTTGATATTGGTGTCATATTGAAGGACTATCGTGTCCTATCTCCAAACAAACTCTGCCACCACCACAATTCCTAACATATGTAATGACATATTTTAAATATGATTGGGCAGCTGGGCATTCGTGAATGTTCGAAGCTCAAGAAAGTGGAACTCGCGAATGTGGAGGGAGACCTGTATTCACTAGGATGAACAAATGAATGTCCATATGTGGCAGTCAGACTGATGTAGTTGGAGTTTCATGTGGTTACATTTTCTAAGAGAAAGGGAGGGAAAGGATATATGGTCATGTCTTCTCAGTGGCCACATAGTAACTAAGTAGTCCCTTACTGTGGGGCACAAAGCATAAAAGATTTGTTTTTATAGGATAAATTACTGGAGCTTGTGGCCCAGGAGCAGGAGGGATGAGAAAGACAAAGTTAAAGAGGGAGAGAAGCAAGAGTCATGGTGGTACAGTAACTAAGTGGTCCTATGCTGTAGGGAATGAAGCAAATGTTCACATGCTATCTTGGTGATTGCTTTAGTTATTTTTACTTTTGGTGGAGAGAGTTGATACGCTTTTATAAAAAGTATTCCAAATTCAATCGGAGAATTGATTTTGATAAACGTAAGTGGTCACTCGCAGTAACTAACCATCTTGTAACAGAATGTTGATTATAACTGAGTTTTTGTTGTATGCATGAGAAAAAATTTTTTAGTGTCAGTTTTTGTTAAAGACTTACCAAAAAAAATCAAAATTGATTTGTTTATTTACAATATGTTCATTTTATGCATGTGTGATAGACTCACATTTGTTTGGTAGAGTTTAAAAAATTATGACTATTAAACCAAAGGGAAAGGGAGGGGAGGAGGAGAACACGTAAACAACGAAGATGCATATACAGGACCTGGATGTACTTTGCCAATAACACACTGCAGAGATCTTGATAAATTAGACACATGTGCAACACTTGGGTATCTTTAATGAGGAAACGTTTCGCCACACAGTAGCTTCATCAGTCCAAACAAAGGAGAATGGTGAAGAACAGGAGGAGTTTGAGGTAATCAGTCCCTTAGCCTTGAGTCGATGCGATCAGTCCATCAATCTTGAAAAGAATACAGCATATCTGTGGAGAAGTAGCTTATATGCCATTGGCAGGAGAGGTGCAGCAGTCATAGGTGGTATCACATTTGTCCAGTGTGGAAGTAGGTCATGCCCAAGAGTTAGGCAAGTGAAGAATTCCCAAGTATTAAGATCCCAAGATGTTGCTGTGTCAGACAGGAATGTAGATGAATGGTTCAGAGAACTGACAAGTTGATGAATTAGACACATGTGCAACACTTGGGTATCTTTAATGAGGAAACGTTTCCTCATTAAAGATACCCAAGTGTTGCACATGTGTCTAATTTATCAACTTGTCGGTTCTCTGAGCCATTCATCTACATGCAGTGATCTTATTTAGAGTCTGCCTGTGTTGTCATGTTGAAGCATGTAAAGAAAGAGGGAATAGTAGATTGGAAAGGCAGATGGTAGAAGACTTGTAGCGTGGTGAGAAATACTGTAGGAGTGAGATAAGGGAGAAAGAGAGGGATCCATATGGTACTGTACTTTAAAATTGAGAGGCTGATGAATGCAGTGTCTTGGTTGAGAAGTCATTTCATCTCTTACAATGATTAGCATTACAGCTAATAATTTTTTTTTTAATTATGTAGCATAATACTTTTCATTATATGAAAAACACACAGCAGTGCTTATAGTTAATGTGATAAAACACTTGACAAAAAGCAGTGGTATTATGGGACAACTCATGAAAAAGTTCACAGCATTATGTAACAACTCATTTAAAGGATCTGGAGCACATTTTATAGAAAAGAAAAATTAATCCTTTGTGTGTGCACGTGTGTGTGTGTGTGCACGTGTGTGTGTGTGTACATGTGTGTGTGCACATTGTGTGTGTGTACATGTGTGTGTGTGCACATTGTGTGTGTGTGTGTATTGTACAAGTACCATTTATAAAATTTGTTGAAGATCATACTTTTCTCTTCAGTTTTTGTATATAAACAACCTCAAATCTAATAAAAAAAGCACATGTTTTGAGAGTTATTATTACTATGTGATATATTATTAAGCATACATGGATGTACAGTAAAGTGAAGTTTATGTATAGTACATATTCAGAATATAATTATTCATGTTAAGTTCTATGTTCAATTATGAAAAAATTAATAAATAGCTTATAATTAATTTATTTTACTGGTACCATTGGAGGACTATATATTTCTTAAAAAAAAAAAAATTCTTATTTACAGCATTACACAATAGAATGACAAGCCAAGGATACTTGTGGAAGCTCTTGCTTGTGTTTTACATCATCACAGGGACCAAAGTTATTGACACTATACTCCAATTAAAGAACTAAAAATTACCAAACAGGCTTACAAAATTAAATAAATGATAAAACTAGGTACTGTACTGCTACAAAGAATATATCTGACAGACAGAGTCACCATGATTAAAATAGATTGTTTAAAATCTATTGTGATTAGCAATATTTAATAAAATGTAAGCAAGGGAGAGGGTGTGCTCTCTGCATCTACATAAAAGGTTCTTCCACTAGCAAGACACCAACTAACTCATATTTTGATGACAGGAAGGAGGCACAGTTACCTTGCCAATGAGTCTCATGTGGATAGACCCAAGAATAGGCCACCATTGTCATCTGCAGCACCATGGCTTTTTGTTTTAAAAACAATGATAATACAGTGGTACCCCAAGTTTCAGCCATAATTCGTTCCAGAAGGCTCTTCGAGTGCTGTTGCCGAACAAATTTGTTCCCATAAAGAATAATGTAAATTAGATTAGTCCATTTCAGACCCCCAAAAATATACTTACAAAAGCACTTACAATAATACACTTACATAATTGTTCGAGTTGGGAGCTGTACGAAACTTGGGGTACCACTGTATACATATATAAAAAAAGAGAGGTTCAGAATTTTCTTCTTTAACTGACTCATGAAATTGTAATGACATGGGTTTATTATCTTCTTTCTGTGAAAAGCTTTATTAAGTTATTGACTTGATAAAGTTCTACATAGAACATGTTATTATAATAAGAGCTTACTCTACATTTCTTATTCTTCACTATTACTATCGCCGGTAATGTGTGCCTTTGTAGCCAGGGTCACATATCTAGAAAATAATCCTTGTGTTAAAACTGTCAATTTGAATACATTGAATCTGTGGTAAAAACAGAGTTACGTTCGTGGGAAATAAAAAAATAAATAAATTATGGTTGCATACACAATTATTAAAATTTTCAAACTGTTAAATTATTTTTAGATATTTTGTTGATTGTATGTTTTGTATAAAATTGACAAAATTTATAAAAAAAAGTTGCTGAGTGATAGTTTACAATTGTGAATAAGGAAGCATAAAGAGAAGGAAGAGTGGAAAAAAAGAAAGAAGAAGCAAAGAAGATTAACCCTTTTGCTGTGGCATTCATCACTTGTTAGGTGACCAACGACTATTCCCCCCTCCCCCCCTAAAAAAAAAAACTTTCTTTAATTGGGAATACAAATACAATACAGATACAAATTTTTATTTCCTTATGCAGTACAAAATAATTTTTTTTTTTTTAACAAGTCGGCCATCTCCTCCCGAGGCAGGGTGACCCAAAAAGAAAGAAAATCCTCAAAAAGAAAATACTTTCACCATCATTCAACACTTTCACCTCACTCATACATAATCACTATCTTTCCAGAGGCACCCAGATACAACAGTTTAGAAGCATATACATATAACATACCCCTCCAAGCTGCCAATATCCCAAACCCCTCCTAAAGTGTAGGCATTGTACTTCCCATTTCCAGTACTCAAGTCTGGCTATATAAAAATAACCGGTTTCCCTGAATCCCTTCACTAAATATTACCCTGCTCACACTCCAACAGCTCGTCAGGTCCCAAAAACCATTTGTCTTCATTCACTCCTGTCTAACACGCTTACACATGCTTGCTGGAAGTCCAAGCCCCTCGCCCACAAAACCTCCTTTACCCCCCTCCCTCCAACCTTTTCAAGGACAACCCCTACCCCGCCTTCCTTCCCCTACAGATTTATATGCTCTCCAAGTCATTCTCCTTTGATCCATTCTCTCTAAATGACCAAACCACCTCAACAACCCTTCTTCATCCCTCTGACTAATACTTTTAGTAACTCCACACCTCCTCCTAATTTCCACACTCCAAATTCTCTGCATAATATTTACAGCAGGACATCTCCACTGCCTCCAGCTACCTCCTCACTGCAGCATTTGCAACCCAAGCTTCACACTCATATAAGAGTGTTGGTACTACTATACTTTCATACATTCCCTTCTTTGCCTCCATGGATAACATTTTTTGTCTCCACTCACCTTTTTTCCTTCATCAATTCTATGGTTAACTGTGTCATCTCCCATTTTGTATTTGATTCCCCATAATTGAATCCCACCCGTCTCCCCAACTCCCTAGCATTTACTTCTTTTACAACCTCATCTATAAATATATTAAACAACCATGGTGACATTACACATCCCTGTCTAAGACCTACATTTACTGGAAAGTAATCTCCCTCTCTCCTACACACCCTAACCTGAGCCTCACTATCCTTATAAAAACTCTTAGTAACTTACTACCTATTCCATGTACTTTCAACATCTGCCACATTGTTCCCCTATCCACTCTATCATATGCCTTTTCTAAATCCATAAATGCAATGAAAATTTCCCTATCTTTATCTAAATACTGTTCACATACATGCTGCAATGTAAACACTTGATCTACACATCCTCTACCCACTCTAAAGCCTCCTTGCTCATCTGCAATCCTACTCTCTGTCTTACCTCTAATTCTATCAGTAATAACTCTACCGTACACTTTTCCTGGTATACTCAGTAAACTTATTCCCCTATAATATTTACAATCTCTTTTGTCCCCCTTCCCTTTATATAAAGGAACTATACATGCTGTGTGCCAATCCCTAGGTACCTTCCCCTCTTTCATACATTTATTATACAAAAATACCAACCAGTCCAACACTATATCCTCCCCTGCTTTTAATATTTCTGTCATGATCCCACATTTACTTCTTTTACAACCTCATCTATAAATATATTAAACAACCATGGTGACATTACACATCCCTGTCCAAGACCTACATTTACTGGGAAGTAGTCTCCCTCTCTCCTACATGCCCTAACCTGAGCCTCACTATCCTCATAAAAACTCTTTACAGCATTTAGTAACTTACTACCTATTCCATATACAGTGGAACCTCTACTTGCAAGTTTAATCCATTCCATGACCTTGCTCGCAACTGGATTTGCTCGTTTGCAGAGTCAATTTTCCTCATTTAAATTAATTGAAATGCAATTAATTTGTTCCAGTGAAATTCTGTACTTCAATAATTTCACTAATATCAACTCTACGGCTTATTTATCTATCTCACTTCATCTAATATGATATAATAAACAATATAAATAACATAGAAACCTGATATACAGTGGACCCCCGGTTCGCGATGCTATCGGTATCCGATAAATCCGGTAGCCGATGCATTGTATCGCAAAAAAATTGCCTCGCTTCCCGTTACAAAACCCGGTATGCGATGCGATTCGTACGAGACATGTCCACGTGTGGCCTGAGCTGCCCCGTGTGTGCCAGTGTTTACAAGCCAGCCAGTGTGCGTGCCTCTAAGGATACATTCGGTACATTCCATATTATCACTGTTTTTGGTGCTTTTTCTGCAAAATAAGTCACCATTGGCCCCAAGAAAGCTTCTAGTGCCATCCCTTCGAGACCAAGGGTGCTAATGACTATTGAAATGAAGAAAGAAATAATTGCAAAGTACGAAAGTGGAGTGCGTGTGTCGGGTTGGGTTGTACATGTATAGTAAACCCCAATCAATCATTTCTACTATAGTGAGCAGGAAAATGGCAATCAAGGAAGCTGTTCTTGCAAAAGGTGCAACTGTGATTACAAAACAGCGACAGTGTTAGAAAATAATGAGAGACTGATATTGGTGTGGATAAATGAAAAACAGATAGCAGGAGATAGCATCTCTCAAGCGATCATTTGTGAAAAGGCTAGGCAGTTGCATGACGATTTGGTAAAGAAATTGCCTGGAACTAGTGGTGATGTGAGTGAATTTAAGGCCAGCAAAGGTTGGTTTGAATGATTTAAGAATCGTAGTGGCATACATAGTGTGATTAGGCATGGTGAGGCTGCCAGTTCAGACCAAAAAGCAGCTGAAAAATATGTGAAAGAATTCAAGGATTACATAGACAGTGAAGACTTGAAACCTGAACAAGTGTTTAATTGCGACGAAACAGGCCTGTTTTGGAAGAAATTGCCAAGCAGGACCTACATTACTCAGGAGGAAAAGGCACTCCCAGGACATAAGCCTATGAAAGACAGGCTTACTCTTCTCATGTGTGCCAATGCTAGTGGTGATTGCAAAGTGAAGCCTTTATTGGTGTATCACTCTGAAACTCCCAGAGCATTCAGGCAAAAGAATATTCTCAAGGCTAATTTGTGTGTGCTGTGGAGGGCAAACTGTAAGGCATGGGTCACTAGGGACTTTTTCTATGACTGGTTATACCATGCATTTGCCCCCACTGTGAAAGGTTACCTAACTGAAAAGAAATTAGACCTTAAGTGCCTCCTGGTATTAAACAATGCCCCTGGTCATCCTACAGACTTGGCAGAGCGACTTTCTGGGGACATGAGCTTCATTAAGGTCAAGTTTTTGCCTCCTAATACCACTCCTCTCCTGCAGCCCATGGACCAGCAGGTCATTTCCAACTTCAAGAAACTGTAAACAAAAGCTATGTTTGAAAGGTGCTTTGAAGTGACCACAGATACTCTATTGGCTCTAAAGGAGTTTTGGAAGGATTACTTTAATATCCTCAATTGTGTAAACCTTATAGGTAAGGCTTGGGAGGGAGTGACTAAGAGGACTTTGAACTCTGCCTGGAAAAAACTGTGGCCAGAATGTGTAGACAAGAGGGATTTCGAAGGGTTTGAGGCTAACCCTGAGAAGCCTATGCCAGTTGAGGAATCCATTGTGGCATTGGGGAAGTCCTTGGGGTTGGAGGTTACTGGGGAGGATGTGGAAGAGTTGATGGAGGAGGACAATGTCGGACTAACCACTGATGAGCTGCTAGATCATCTTCAACAGCAAGAGGCCAGACCTGAGGAAACTGCTTT